CGAGGCTGGCCGCAGGGCACCCCCGGGCCCCTGCGCCCGCTCTGGCCACGTCCTCTGGGTGGACGTTGGGCCCGGCCCCTCCTGCTGCCCGTGCCCAGGGTCAGCCCCGTGGGGCCTGCGGTCGGCTTGACTTGGAGTGGAGCAGACAGGAACAGCTGGTGGCCCCTGGGTGCCAGGGCCTGCAGGGCTGGGGTTCCTGGGCGGCAGGGGGGTGCTGTCAGCCCGGCTCCAGGCTGCACCCCCTCTGGCTGGGCTGGCTCCAGGCTCTGTAGAGGGCTGGTCCTGCCAGCTGGTGGCACTGTCCCCTCTCTGGTACCCCCCGGGCCTCCGCAGGGGGCACTGGGTTCGGAGGCCACTGTCTCAGTCTGGTGGCAGCCAGGCCAGGGAGGAGTCCCACGCTGAGGGTGGGGATCAGGGGAGAGAAGTGACCAGCTACCCCTCAGAACACAGGGCGCTGGGGCCCGGGGTGGAGCCGTGGCCCGGGGAGGCCGCCCACAGTTACCACAGTTTGGGAGCCTGTCAGTCCCCACCCCTGCGGGACTTGACACGTAGTTCGCCCTCATTTCTGGGGAACTGGCTTAAAGGGACAGTGTCCCCCTAAACCCTGGGCTCCCTGCTCAGCCCCCTACCCCCACTCAGCCGCGGGAGCCCCTTCCCAAGGAGGGGAGGAGGTCTGTTCCGTGGCAGCCGAGCTTGGGCCCGCGGGCGCGTCTCGGGGACACTCAGGGCGGTTTGGTCCTTGTGAGGACTTCCAGGCAGAGAGGAGCGTCAGCCCTTCCGCCCAGTCCCGACTCGGGAGGGGCTGACCTGTGGTCACGCAGCACGGAAGGAAGGTAACTGGGCAGAGTGGCAGGTGTTCTGTTCAGAGATCCAGTTCTGGGCTGGCTCTGGCCTCAGAAGGTCATCTTATAGGGGAAGAAAATAAAGCCCAGAGAGGGACGGGACTTGCCCTAGGTCACACAGCGGGTCACAGACCTGCGATGGGGACCCGGCTGCCTGCTTTCAGCCCCTCCTCTGTAGCACACCTACTGCCACTGGTCCCAGGAGAAGCCGGGGGGGGAGGGGGGCGGCAAGGCTGCCTTGGTCTTTGGTCCTTCTGTGGCTGCACCCCCCTCACCCGTCTTCCTCCTGTGTCCCCAGGTGTGCCACGGACCACAACGTGGACAACACCACAGAGATGCTGCAGGAGTGGCTGGCCGCCGTGGGCAGTGACTATGCGGCCGTGGTCTGGAGGCCTGAGGGGGAGCCCAGGTGAGCTGGGTTGAGGGGGAAACAGGAAACAGCTGCACCCCAGGGAGGAAAAGGGACAGCCCAAGCCACAGCCTCCAGGCCAGGGCTGTCCACCGCCCTGCGGAGAGGGAGCGGCACCTACCCCGTGGGAGCATCTCATCTCTTTACGCCTCAGGTCCTACCCAGATGAAGAGGGTCCCAAGCACTGGACCAGAGAAAGGCACCAGTTTCTGATGGAGCTGAAGCAAGAAGCCCTGACCTTTGCCAGGGACCTGAGGGCTGAGTATATCCTGGTGAGAGTGCCTGGCCGGGGCTGGGCTTCCCCTGCGTGCTGGGGTCTGTTCCTGACAGGAGTTTTGGTCCGACAGCCTCCTGTAGGCTCGCAGCCTGGGTCAGAAACCAACCAGATCCTGAGCTTGGATCCCTCTGCTTGACCTTGGACTAGACGCCAAGCCGGGATTCCTGAGACAGATCCCAGGGTAGACACCGAGCCTGGTTCCCGAGCTAGGGCTCAGAATAGGTCTTTGGATCTACCCCCTAAGTCAGATCTCAGGGGAAGTTCTTAGATCAGCAGCTCGGTTCTTGTCTCTGGACCCATCCCTGAACCAGTGCCCCAGACGAGATCCTTGGTCCAGAAACACATCTGCGAGCTTGTAGGTTAGACCTCTCGAAGGGAACCCCGTGGGGTTCTGGGAGCCCCTTCTGGGTGTCTGGCAATCGGGGGGGAATCCCACTCAGGGAACCCCAGGGGCGGGGGGCGCTGCGGCCCAGGCAAGGCTGGGGTCTGTGACGTCCCCTCTAAGTTTGCAGATACGGACAACGTCCTGACCAACAACCAGACGCTGCGGCTTCTGATAGAGCGGAAGCTGCCCGTGGTGGCCCCCATGCTGGACTCCCAGACCTACTACTCCAACTTCTGGTGCGGGATCACGCCACAGGTGAGGCCGGGCATGGGGCCTCGGGGCACTTGAGGTTCTGGGAGGAGGGACACGGAGAGCAGAGAGCCTGAGCGCCTTGGGGTCCTCCTGCCCGGGCAGGGGATGGAGGGGCCCTCTCACTGCCCAGAGCACCCCTCCTCTAGGGCTATTACCGCCGCACAGCCGAGTACTTCCCCACAAAGAACCGCCAGCGCCGGGGCTGCTTCCGGGTCCCTATGGTCCACTCCACCTTCCTGGTGTCCCTGCAGGCAGAGGGGGCAGCCCAGCTGGCCTTCTACCCCCCCCACCCCAACTACACCTGGCCCTTCGACGACATCATCGTCTTCGCCTACTCCTGCCAGGCTGCGGGTGAGGACAGCGCTCCTTGGTCATTCCTTAGCCGCCTCCAGGCCTTTGCACATGCTGTTCCCTCTGCTCTCCACGCCCTTCCCTGTCTACATTTCATCTTGTTAGCTCCGGTTTGTCCTTTGGGTCATACATAGCCTGTCTTTTCTTTTTTTTAAAT